GATAAAAGCACAAAAAAAAAAATCAAGAAATTTTTCCAGAGCAATAAAATAAAAAGGTGCAAGACAGATCCTGGATCCAGCACTAGTGGTGGAGCACTGAAGTTTTGGTCAGATCTGGGGGCTCTGGGTGCTAAAATTCCAGTTAAAGGCATCTCCTATGGCACAGGAGGGGTGGCTGGAGCAGAGGTAGCCTCAGACATGCAGCAAAGGCAGCAGAACAGCAAATATTTGAGAAAGTCCGGAGCAGGCAGAGTGGATCTGAGTGGTTTTCCCCTCCCAACCCTTTTCTCCAAGGCTCTGACCGCTGGATTCTCCCCGATGTGCTGGCAGAGCTCTGGTTCCAGGCCTGTGGCTTCGAGCTCATTTGTCAAAGGCAGGGATCTCTATGAAAGGCTGTTAGCAGAACATTTACTTCCCATTCCTCATCCTCTGCTGTCATCACCTCCCAAGATTAATTAAGGAAAAAAGAAAAGACATCTTGTCTCTCCTTTGTTTCCTCATTCCTTGCATTTTTTAACAGCCCCTTTCTCTCCATTCATGTCCTGGGTACTGCTGGGGAGCAAACCGAGCAAAACCCAGTCCTTCCCTCTTCCTTCTTGTGGTTAACATATCAATTTCTTCTGCCTCTCTCTGGGTGGAAGTGATTGGTTGAGCTTTGTCCAGGACATCAATTCTCTTCCACGGCCTCAGCTGCTAAAGCTAAGCCAGGAAAGATCCCAAATCCATTGATTTAAGATTGTTGGCAGTTCTTGTTGCAGATTTCCAGCCCCGGTGCTGGGGTTGGTTGTTCCTGAGTCCCTTTGGGGTCGCATGATGCCATCAGTCCTGCTCCCTCTGGGATAACTGGGGGATTTTGCTCATGTGTGTGCTCCTTGCCCCACTTCCCTCTGTTAGGAGCCATAACCTGTGCTCATCCTGGTGCCAGGGCCTTTCCCATGGCCATTCCCAATGGTCCTGTTTGGTTTGCTCCTGAACCCATCCTGGTCCCAGCTGTGTGAGTGAATTATGGATAAAACCAGAGCCACCCTGGCCCTGCCACCTTCCCAGCCCTGCCTGATCCCCTTGTTCCCCTTATGCCAGACCCAGTGACTTTCCACCCCTTTATTCAGAGTTTAGGCTGAGGTTTCATTCTCCCGGTCTGACCAGTGCTGGCAGTTCCCGAGCTGTGGGTACCAGGATGCTCCCAGGGGACGGTCCTACGGCTCCCTGCCGGTGGCAGGTGGGGAGGAGCTGTCTCCTCTCCGTGTGTCACTGCTGATCCATGAAACCTGGCTGAAAACCTGCGGGGCAGCCGGCGCTGCTTCCCTGGGGACTCGGGGATTCGCCATCTGCTCTGCTGAGCATCCCCAAAGCCCAGCCCTGATGGGAG